CATCCATTCCATGGTCAAGAAATCAAGAGTATTTATTAACTCATTCATTGCATTTATTGTTTAAGAAATCAAGAGTATTTCTTAAACCTCATCCATTTGCACTCATTCATCCAATGTTTAGAAAGTCAAGAGTATTGTTTTTTATTTGTGTCTTTATAGAGTTTCAATTTCCATTCATGGAAAATTAGAAGTAAAGAGTCCAAGAGTTAGCTAATTCGCATATGGTTCTCTCTCAATAGATCATCCATATCATAACCCTTACATCAGAGGACAAAGTTTGGGTCTGTTTAGTATTTAAACTGTCTTCCACCATGGCAATTTGAAGACAAGAGTTCTTCATATGCTCCGGTTGAAGATGTTTAAATAGGGGCAACTATCATACCCCAATTTTTCCTCAAGCCATTCATTCATTGAAAGCATTCGCATCATTAATGTAAAATTCAACATTCAATCAACTTTCAGTTTGTTTTAAATTCAAAAATTGAGTTAATTACATTTCATGCATTTTCATCGCCTTATGCATTGTGCGAAGTCAACTAGAGGCTAATCAAAATAAATTTCTAGTATACCGACAGACTGGTTGAATCATTTCTAAAATATACGTGAAATTCTTGGGGGATCAAAAAATCGAGCTTGAAGACGTCAATTTTATTGATCTATAGTTTATGTAGTGTAACTTGGTGTGCTCGTTTTGATTTTTCGACTCCTTTTACGATCGCATTTTAATTAGCCTGGACATTTATAACTGATCATTTTTTACTTCAAAATTTGATTAAAACTTGTTTGTTTTCTAGAGGTTTATTTCATGTTGATCATTTTAGTGCATTCATTTTAATTATTCGGGTATTTTTGTGCCCAATTTTTATTCATTTTGAGTCCTTTTATTATTATTTTTTGTCAATATGTTCATAAAAAATAAACAGAATTTACTGTGTCATCCTTCTTATTTGATTTTGATTATTTGAAATTGTTTGAAACCTATTTGATTAATTTGTTTTAATTCATATTAAGCTCTTAATTCATCCAAAAGGACTTTTGTAGGAATAAAAAAAACGAAACAAACTTGACCTTTTCCACTAACTCCTACGCGCCAGCTCATATTTTCTCAACATCTCTCTCCATTTTGCAACCAATAAAATAGAATGACTCTCTTCCCAATAAATGGGGGATGGATATGAAAAATATGGAGAAACAATAAAATTTTGCGTGAAAACACGTTCACATGCAGCAAACCATTCTCACCCACAAACATACTCCATAAAAACAAACCCTTCATACTACACAAAGTACTCTTCATTTTTCTTACCATACAATATCATCTTCATTACTACAAACACTCACCATAAAAGACTTATATTTTTTCTTTTCATTTTTTAACCACCCACTACTACAAAAAAGATATACAACAATGTCCACGTTACCACGTCGAAAGGATCCGCCGTGGTAAAATCTATTCAATTAGACGGTTTTTTTTTATTTTCATTTTAAAGTCATTTTCACCACAGTTGGAAGTTTCAACTGTGGTAAAAAGTGATGCATGGTCATGAGTTCTAATTTTGATGTCGTTATTGTTCTACTGCTGCATTTTTTATATTTCATTAAAAGACGTACAACAACAGTTTTTTAATACAATTGTTGTTGTATGTAGCACATGGTCATAAATTTGAATCTTGTTGTTGTTGTTATTGTTGTTCTACTGCTGCATTTTTAATATTTTATTAAAAGACATACAACAACAGTTGTTTAATACAACGGTTGTTGTATGTAACGTGTTTAGAAGTCACTCAGGATCATAGGGAAATATAAACGTGTTTATTGAGTTTCTTCACTTTCATTACACAAATATTTGTCGTCCATTTAGTGAGTATCAACGCTCAAGAGTCTACCATTAGTGATCCGCGTGAAACCTAAAACTTAGACAAAATTATAACTTAGATGAACTTCATCTTTTACCTCCAAACGCCATCTTTCATTTACGACCAAGCTCGGAAATATCATTTCTCCATTAAACCAAGCCCGGAAATATCATTTCTTCCATAAGCAATACACGAAACATTATTTCTTTCATTAAAAAATTTCAAAACTCCATCATCTATTCTCCAACTTGAATGAGACAAGGAAAGTATGGATTCAAGCTATCAATGTTAGTTTTTGTTGTTCTTGTTGTTCTTTTTTGTTTATTATTGTCGTTGTTGTTCTTGTTGTTATTATTGTTCTTCTTGTTGTTTTGTTGTTGTTCTTGTTGTTGTTCTTGTTGTTGTTTTTATTATTATTATTATTATTATTATTATTATTATTATTATTATTATTATTATTATTATTATTATTATTATTTTTGTTGTTGTTGTTGTTTTTTTTATTGTTCTTGTTGTTCTTGTTCTATTGTTGTATTTTATTTAATTTTATTAAAAAACATACAACAACGGTTGTTTAATACAATCGTGATTGTATGTAACGCGATATCTAATTTACTAACATGAAAAATAGATCGTGATTGTAAATAACTCACTTATAACCACCCGCTATCTAACAACGATTGTTCAATTATTATTATAGATTTTCCACAACCGTTGTTATATGTGTTTTTCGTAATAGTGACCGTACAAAACCATAAACACCACCTTCCAGCGAGTACTCTGTCTCATGATGTGAATAAGCTCACCATAAAATTTTGTTTACTACTTATCCATGAACAAGAGAAGAGAGTGTTATGTTTTATTTTTTCTTTATTAATCACAATTGCCACATGTCTAAATTCGATTTGAGGCATTTTGAAATTTGAAAAAAAAAACCATGCTCTTCCTTTCCAATTAGTGTACCGTGCCCTCCCTCTTTATGGGAGTTTTATTTATTTTTTATTAATTATCTTGTTTTTTGTTTTGTTTTTGAATTAGGGGTTATTAGTGGTTTGAGCTTTTGGGCTTTTTTTTAGATGTTGCTAACTTTTTACTTCTCTTTTCAGCCTACACCTTCTTAGTTTTACTTTATTTATTTAATTTTGTTTAGTTTAGTCTAATTAATTTAATTATTTAATTAGGAAAATGAAGCCATTAAATCGTATATTATTTTAGAATTTTTTGATAAAATTGATGATCACAATCATTTGTAAATATTTTATGTTCATGTACACAAGTTAATTGTCAGTTTAAAAACCTTTTCTAATCACTTTCAAAATAAATACGAACAAATATTTGATCTAACGTCACATTGTCTTTTTTTAAACTCTTTCTCGCGATAAATAATTCGATTGAAAAAGGATTGGGGCGGAATTAATTTTCTTCTCCTTTCCCGAACGTTCATGTGATGGCCGCACTTAGTCTGCTGTTTGAATATTCGTCAATCGCATCAAAACATTTTTAAATAATCGAATCAAGTTAATTCTTTCGTGGATGAAAAAGGACTAGGACGAAAGTAATTTTCTTCTCTTTTCTCCAAGTATTCCTGTGATGGCCGCATGTTAAAGAAACATGACTTGACTCACCATACCAATTTCATAAATAATTCGATTGAAAAAAGATTGGGGCGGAAGTAATTTCTCCTATTTTCCCCGAATGTTCATGTGATGGCCGCACTTAGCCTACTATTTGAATATTCTTCAATCACTCAAAAATATTCAAACACATAAAACTTGTTTTCCACCCTTACGCGACTTTAAAACCTTTTTTGAAACGAGTATGCTGTATCCATATCGGCGTGAAACAAACAAAGGCTTCAGCCTCCAAGAGTGAGCAACAAGAAAAGGTTTAATCACTTGATATGTCTAAAGGATCACTCCTTAAAAGCAACCAACGAATAGTTATTTGCTACAAAGAACTACGTAGCCTTGGATACTCCATTGCATCTGTAGATGCGTAGGAACAAGATTTTGAATTCTATCAGGCACATCAAATAAAAAAACTCTAAACCATTTCTTTCTTTTTTCTCGCTCAATAAGTCAAAGGAAACAATTGACATACACTAACATTCAACTGTAAATCTAACTAAAAGGTTTCCGTTGAGTATAACGGACATAGGGCGCTAATACATTCCCCTTGCATAATCAACTCTCAAACTTGAATTTGATTGATGTGACCATTTTCTTTTTCTCTTAATGAGTGTATCGATATTTTTTTATTTGAAATAAATAAAGTTCGATAACAATTATGTTCGAAACATTTTCTACGAGCGCGCAAACGATTCACGAAAAATTGTATTTTTCGAAATATAACACTCTGTATCCAAAACTTTCGGTATAAATAGAGACTATCAAGCACATCCCAATTCACACCAAAGGCTTTCAAATTTTTCCTTCCTGACTCTCTTCTCTCTGTGCTCTTATGTTATTAGAGCTTCATCTTCTTCTCATTTCAATTCGTTGAATTTTTCTAATATTCGTTGATTTCTCTTTAGTAAATTAGTTGCATTTCTTCTCGTTCAAAAAATTATTTAAAATAATTAAGTGACCATTATTTGAGAATGTATTCTAGAAGCATCCTTATAGGTGCTTGCAATATAGTAGGATATTGATTCATTGTCTGCTAACATAATTTACAATTTTGGATAGTTTTGTGAAATGCTTTTAAGAGAGCGCAAGTAATTTCTTATGTAACATAATTCAACTTTCAGAAACTTTGGAATTCAAAAACAACAAGTCCATAATCATAAGATTTGGTTTCACACACACTCTTTATTTTATTTTATTCATGTTATAACTCACTTGCCATCAATTTTTATGAAAATAATTTACCTATTATCATGCTAAAAAATTAGCATTTGATCATATTAGTTCAAAACATAAGCATAAGTAGGCCTAGCAAACTGATAGCATCTTATCATAATTTTTTGAAACTCATCTACCTATACTTCTACAAAAAGTACTTCATAAGAAACATCAAAGTTTCTGATTAAAAATGCTTTCATCATTTTTCTGCAAAACATTGTTTGAAGTTAAGATAATCACCCACAGACGCGATACATTCGCTCTTGATTTCACGGTCTCGAATAAAACCATTCGTATTTTCTTACTCTAATATGATGGCGAGACGACTAGAACTTCTTGGTAGTGACAGTAGATCTTTAGCCTCATCCACAATTGTTGAATCACAAATCACATACATCTTTTCCATCATGTATGCTCTAGCAATCAAAAGTCTTGCAAATATCACTTCTTGCTCTTTGCCTGTAAATCCTTTCAATGTGACAAATTTTAACTTCTCAAAGAAGTCAAAATAGTACATTTCTCGTGTCTCCCAGAACATCGACTTAACATACGGTAGAGCACAATCATCATCATTGGTTGTAATATTGGAAGCCGAAGCTTCATTTGCCTGTAAAATGCAATCACATCTCAATCATCATAGCATAAAGAAGACTAATAAAGAAGACTAAAAGTTTTCTAAAGATAGTAGAAAGTAGAAACATACCGGTATAGTGATTTTTAGAGTTTGGAGAAGGCCGCACGACATTAGCACGTACGAAAGTGCCAAAACTTCTCGTATGTTGTTCAAATCCAAATCGATCGACAAGGTTAAAAGCTTTCGAAAAATGTTTATTGATCGAGATTTCTGCGTTGAGAGACAGTTAGGGCAACTATATATATACTTAATCCATACGAATACAATAGAATCGGAGAAAACTTACGAAAAGATCACTGCAATTTTCGAGAATATCTTGTGTTTTCAGAATCTTATTCCTTTGGCGATAATGTAATTGAGTCCTTTGATCGAACGGATTGTAGGCCGAACAGAAAGTCCGAATATTCTCCGAGTAAATTCTAAGATCTTTTGGGGGGCAGATTATAGAATCAATCACCAAAATTTGAAGCTCCTCAACCCTAACATGTATGTTTCTAACATTCAACCTAAAAAGCTCCAAAGTTTTAAGAGATTTATTTTCAATCTTGATGCTATTGAACCCTTTAGACTCAACCAAACTAAACTTCTCCAAACCATAGCAATTTTGCAAAATTCCATTGATGGTAGTATCCACCATGAACATATTCTTGAGCTTCAAAATCTTCAACCTTTCGCAACTTTCAAATGCAGATAAAACTGAATCTTCGAGTTTGTAATTCGTCAATTCAAGCGAACTCAAATTCGAAAATATCTTAGCCTTAAAACAATCCTTAGTAATTATACTGCGACGATTTAAACTCACACACTCTAAACTCAAAGAACTTATCTTTTTTCTCTCTATCAAAAACTCAACCGAAGTTTTTAAATCTCCGAAACCATTTTTGTGACGAAAATGTTTGAAGCAACCACTAATCAAATTACCCTGATGTTGATGCAGTATATGGTTAACCATGTTATCATATATCATAACATCGATTTTTATAACTCTTTTTTTACCTGATGAATCTATTTTCTCTAGGTTTACCATGCGAGTGCAATCAAAATCGAAGTGCGAAACGTTTTTCCATAAATGTGTCCAACGTTTTGATAAAATACTTGTTCTAAGAACTTCATCAATGGTAAGATGAGATATTATAACATGTAAAATAGGATCTGGTAGATCACTAATGAAGTCATGTGTTCCATGGTTGAATATTCGTTTCGACATTGCAAGATATTAATGTCAATCTAGGGTTTGATATTATTGTATTTCTACACTAGGGTTTGATCTTGTTGTATTTCTACACTAGGGTTTGATCTTATTGTATTTCTACACTAATGAATATAATAATGAAGAGAAACGAATTATAATGTATGATATAACTAATGCTAGTTAGATGTGTGTACCTGGAATGAAATTGGGTTGATACCTTCAATGGCTATGGTGAAAATTCAGACAAAACCTACCAAACGTGGAACACAATAAAAATAACTATCTTGGAGCACAAGTTATGGCGAATTAATAGCAATTATATAAACTCATTAAACTGAGTAGTTAATGATATGATAGGATCTCATCATTATTATTGATTAATTATTTTGAAAATATTGAATGTTTCTAAATTTATATCTATATTTATAGGAACAATGATTTTTTTTTTTTAAATTATGTAATCAATTTAAAAAATAGAATAAGAGTAGGTAAAAACATTTTTAAATGATTCATTTTTTAATTTATCTTTTTGTATTGTTAATTTTTCAAGGTTTAAGTTATATATGGTAAATATATTAATAAAAAAAAAGAGAATAAGAGTAGATACAACCTATTAAATTATTATTTTTATTTAAAAAGATATAATAATAGTAGGCAAAAATAAATTAATTATTTTTTTTTTAATTTGCATTTTGTTCCTTCTCGAAGCAAGAATTATGAGTAAATTAAGGTGGATCTCTAACGCAGGGGTGTAAGTTGAATTATGAGTAAATTGAGGTGGACCCATAACGTGGTGGTGCAAGTTTAATTTTTGAGACAGTTATGCATATGGGTGGATTTGCACGGTACGAGTCAGTATTTTAGTCCCCAAAAGGAGTAGAGTGAAGTATGGAAATGGTGTGTCTCTTAAATCTTATGTGTGATGCCGATTGATTGCCTTAGGAGAGCAAAAAAGTTTTGGGAGCCAGACATAAGAGGAATTGAGACATTGTGCATTAAATGTATTTTCCATCATTAAGACATTTCACAGAACTTTTAAATATGTGGTTCTAGGTTCGCAAATTAGGGTGTCACGTTCCCTTTTTGGGTGCTCAAGTGCACTCAAGTGTCGTTATGTTTTCTTAGGTAATATCTGACTATTGTCTTATGTCTCTCCATTTCTTTTTAATATATGGATCGTTGATCAACTCACTCTTATTTGCTTATATAAATATCAATTGGCTTTCTAGAGGAATTTTCGCTCCTACCACAAATTGAAACACATTTTGTCTTGGTGAAATCCTTAATTCTTTTCCTGAACTTCTAGTAACTTTGACTATGAGGATCTTTCTTTTTGTTGGAGCAGTGTGTCTTCTGAATCATCATCAACCTTCCACTTCTTTTGCTTGAAAATGTTTCTTTCCTCAACTTCCCTTCAGGTGCCATTCCTAGACCTTACACTTCTTTAATCACTTTCATTATTTCACATTTTCCATGGCTAATATAGATGATCAACTTGTGGGTTAAGGGAGTAGCTTTAATGGTGGCGATTCTTTGTCATCTATGGGGGTAGAAACTCTATATAACTCGAATAATATTTCCTCAGCGAATAATCTCCTTAACCCGAATATAGTAGTTATTTTGACAATTCTAAGTTCGATTATGCTTATCATGAACCTTCTTTTGACAAAATAACCTCTGAAGAGTCTTATTGTGCTTTTTTAATGAGAGTGCTGAGAAACTCACTGGCTGCAATCGAACAAATAATGCTACCTCTGATTCTTAGAGAGTAAATGTTTCCCCATTTTTTTCAACCTTTTTTAGCTGCATAAATTAATTCTTGAGATAAGTGGAGGACTCTGAATTTTAATAGGTCTTATAGAATTGTGCATGGATGGCATTGCTTATTACCTTATGGCTGGGAAGATACTTTATCCTGGGAACCGAGTGATGCGAGCCAATATTCTAGGTAGATCCTGGAGTATTGGGGCATATCTCTCTCTTTTTGATAATACAACCAAAGTGGAAGGTGATCTCATAGAAGTAGGTCTACCCTTTGATTAGACGACTCTCCCTGTTAATTCAGACAAAAGGATCTTTGGTCGTTTTAACGGGTGCTCAGTCGCTTTCTATGAATGCATGTTCACTTAGCTAAATTTTAGATTTCCCTTCAACAGATTTGAAGGACTATTAAAGCTTTTGAGAATCGTGTCCTCTCAATTATATTCAAATGCATGGGCTTTCGTGAAGGTGTTCTAGTTTTAGTGTGAATATTAGAATTGTAAGTCGTCTCTGAGTCTCTTCTTTCATCTTTTTATTATGATGTGTACCTCTCGGGACTACTTATATTGCCAAGGGTTGATTTTTGTGTGGCAAGATGTCAAACATTTTGATGTTTATACTAAGAATCAAGATAAATTTAAGTAACGTTTCCTCCTGGTGGGCCTCAAACTTTAAAGGCCCATTCCATTTTTTGTCAGGTTCCTGAGGGGGGGGGGGGGTCTCCTATGACAAGTTTCCTTGACTCTAGGCTAGCTAGATATATGGTTAGGAATCAAAAGTGTTGGTTTTAGAATTATTTTATATGAGATTCTCATACTTATACCATTCCCTTTGGATCTCTATCCCTAGAGGAAGTATCAATAAAAGAAGACCTGGTAACTTTCTGGGAGAGAGTGTCTTATGAAGAAGGGGTCGTCCCTTTAGACATAGGGCTCACTATGCAAAAGAGAAGGGTCATTGAAATTAATTCAATAATAGATGTAGTGATGCTTGTGAGAGGAAATAAATTTTTGGTGAGGAAGGAAAATCGATCTTTATGTATACTTGCTTTTGTCGTCCTCATTATGATTGCTAATTTACTTTTATTTTATCTTTATAGATATCATGGCTTCATGTAGCATGATTGTGGTAAAGAGTCTTTTCACAAAAAGAAAGCTTGGTTGTGAGTCAGTGTGGATGTCAATTCTTCCCTTTATCCTATTATTACCTTAACAATGGTATTAGTGGAGAGGCTTTTGAGGGGTGTTGGGCCCCTGCTTGCATATCAATCTTCATCAACCTTCTCCGATCAAGACCAGGCTTCTTCTATTAGATTAGATAAGGGATCTGATGACCATACTCTAACTTATTTGAACAATAATAAAAGAGGTCGAGACTAGGGTTCTTTCTAATACAAAATCTAAAATAAGAGACTTAGGTTTTCCTATACTTCCCCTGCCAGATCGGCTTTAATCAGAACCAAAGCTTTGCCTACTTTTCTTTGGTTTCTTGTTTTTTTCCAGTCTAGGGTGTAACACCCCATTTTCTATTCATTATTTATTTAATTATTTAATTAAATTAGATGAATATTACTTTGTGTTATTTTCGGTGGTTTGGTCGGTGGGTAGTATTTTCGGAGAGTTATGTTTAATTAATTAGTTAAGTGGGAATTAACTAATTAAATAATTAAAAATTAGTAGAATATGAGGAGATGGATTACTATTTGAATTAAGGGAATTATGTGGTAAGTGGAGAGAAGCCGGGTTTTAGTTGGGCAAAAATTATTATTATTATTATGAGAAGATAATTAGAATATTATATATTCATAAAATTAGAGAAATAGGGTTTTTAGAGCCTTTTGTCAACACGTGAAAAAGAGGAGAATAAAAAATGAGCATTGGAAGGGAGAGCTAGGGCTTTGGGAAGGAGATCGCTTAGAATTTTTTTTAGTGGTTTTGCTAGAACTAAAAGGTAGGGGGATTCTTCATCTAATGGTGCTTAAATCATGAAAGGGTGGAGAGGTTTTCCTTAACCTCCAATAGGGTTTTCCTTTTTCTTATGAATTGATGATAATCTGTTAAATAATGATGTAATCACTCCTACAGAAAACCCATTTAACAACGGTTGAGAAAGATATATAATAACGTGGGCCCAGACGTTGTTATGTAGAGTGTCGTTGTATATATGATACTTACAATCACGATCCAGTAACCGTTGTAATAAACTGGAAAGCGCGCGCCCTATCACAATGGATTTTCCAAAAGACCGTTGTGATAAAGTATTTTTTTTTTGTCAGCGCAAGAGATATTATAACGGTTATGATATATAACCGTTGTTAAATTTTCTGCAGAATTAACAAATAATATCTTACTTTTATAATTAATCACATTTTTTAACCAGTATTATTGTTCACCATATCACAGTAGAAAATACAACTCACATTTGTGATAAAGTTATCATAATAATATTAATTGTATCATATTCATAATATCAAATAATTGTATCATATTCATAATTGAAGGTGAGAAAATACTTAGAAGGGGGGTTGAATAAGTATGACAGAAAATAATCAAAGATAAAAACTCAAGTATTTTTATCCTGGTTCGTTGAACTCAACTACTCCAGTCCACCCTTTTCAAGAGTGATTTGCCTTTCTCAACAAGGACTTAATCCACTATTCAAATCAACTGATTACAAATAGCAACACCTAAGAACAACTGTTCTTAGTCTTCTCAAGAGCTACTGATCTAACCTAGATCCTCTTAAGGAAAACTTCCTTTACAAATTAATGTAATACAATGTAAGAGTAATAAATTGCTTCTATGAAAGCTATAAACACAACTGTGTTATTTCTCTAAGTTTAGAACAAAGTTTGAACTATAAAGAATATGAGAGCTTGAGAGTTTCTTCGCTTGAAAGTAAGTTTGTCAAAAAATTTTCTACACTGAAGAAAGTGCTATGATATCCTTTATATAGCCACTTGAATATTGGAGAGAATATAATACCGTTGGAGAAGATATTTCCAATATCAAATAGTACTGTCCTTTGTACTATTGCAGCAGAGAGACGGCGCACAAAATGTGGGTGTAGCAATTGTCTGCTGAGCTGTGAATTTACCATATATGGAATGTATCAGAGGAATAATCTTCTTGCAGAGATTTATGTCTATCCCAATTAAGGAAAGATTTGCTGGCATATTCCAACGGATATATTAAAATAATCTTCTTCAAATAATTCTTCAGATAGTTCAGATCAACAATCAATATCAGAGTCTT